CATAATTAGTCCATGGTGAAACCAAATTGTTAAAAAAAATCAGGCAATATGAATCCATTCTTAATCTCTGGGCTACAATGTCTTCTTCCTGCAGCTCAATCTTAAGCTTTCCTAAAATAGGGTCTCCCTCAGATACCCAACACCTAAGCCAGAACTGCTCTGCCATTTGCCTGGTGTAATCCCAATGGGCGCCATATCTTCAAATCTCAAGATAATGCAGTATACTTGGACCTAAATCCACAGTCTGATGTTTTATGAGCAACATAGGATAAAACAGGGAGCTGGTATTTATTCACTTTAGGTTATACTTGCTGAAACTTAGTTCAGATGCACAGACAGAAGAATTTTATTTCATAAAAAGTACATCATTAGTCAAAGAGAAAATGAATAGTTTCCATTGTTCTCCCTTTCCCCCAAATTATATCCAGCAAAGGCCTGCCCTGTTGCCTGGAATTCCTCTACTAACAGGTCATTACTTTGTGTCTAGAGGTCTTTGTTACAACAGAACTTCATTAAAACTAATGTAAAAACAGAACGTAGAAAATTTCTGTAGGCCTCTGGGAGCTGCTCCCAACTTTAACAATCAGTAGAAAATAATTTATTCAGCTAAGTTCAGTTCTGACCAAATGAAGAAATCAATCACAAAATCAGTCCAGGAAGTGATGTTCACTCTGGGGAATAGCTCCACCTCTTCTTCAGCTCTCCAGATTTTCCTAGGAAAGACAGTGAAAATCCTACAGTCAAAGGAATGGTATTCAGGAACTTTCTAAGAAACCAGGGTATGATCTGCAGATACTTCTGGGGAACACAGCTCTTACTAAGGTTTCTGCTGATCCTGGAAATGGACGGGACTGCTCCTTGGCAGCAGAAGTCATGGGCTTAGAATGCCTCCTACAGTTATCACTATAGCAGACAAGACTGTTGTTAGATAATATTTAGATGATCTGAACTTCCTCAGCACACACCTAAAGATGTTAGGGAAAGAAGACCCAAAAATTTACCAGGCAGCAAAGTGAAGCCAGGTTAAGATTAGAACTCTACCATCAATACATTTTATAGATGATTATGTGTAGGAAGCGAAGATTAGCTTTATGAGAATCAGCAGTCAACATTTTGGGTAGCTTGACTCTTGAGTCTAATCCCCACAGGCTGAGCTTCTGAGTCTGCCCCCATTTTCTATGGCAAGAAAATCTGGGCATTTTCAGCAAAGTAGGGAGGCCTGTTTTCCTGCTTGCTTTCCAACTTACAGAAAGGGTCATGAATTGGAATATGATGTATTAGTACAAAAATACAGTGCAAATGCCTAGCAAAGCCAGGAGCCTCAACATACTTACCCAACCTCCTTGGCCCTGGATGAATTCCCGGATGGCTCTGTTCCCATTGATCATACCCGTCATGGGGCTAGCCACCTGTCTTGCCATTTCAGGAGCCATGTGGGCCACATACTCAAGAAGTTTCACTGAAACTGACAGAAAGGCTCTCTCATAAGCTAAGCTAGAATCTTGAGCACACCATGCCTGGCTGAGAGATTTCACTGTATCCTGGAGTATAGGTCCTACCTGAGGAGAGATAAAGGATCTATCAGTAAAGCATCACTCAAAAAGTACAGGAGGCTACAGGTACAGGAATCCAGTAAAGCAAGTGTTTCTCTTTTTTTTGAGACAGAGTCTCACTCTGTTGACTGGGCTAGAGTGCTGTGGCGTCAGCCTAGCTCACAGCAACCTCAGACACCTGGGCTCAAGCAATCCTCCTGCCTCAGCCTCCCGAGTAGCTGGGACTACAGGCATGCGCCACCATGCCCAGCTAATTTTTTCTATATATTTTTAGTTGTCTGGATAATTTCTTTCTATTTTTTAGTAGAGATGGGGTCTCACTCTTGCTCAGGCTGGTTTCGAACTCTTGACCTCAAGCGATCCTCCCACCTCGGCCTCCCAGAGTGCTAGACTTACAGGTGTGAGCCACCGCGCCCGGCCACAAGTGTTTCTTAAAGAGTGGCAAATGTACCATTGGTGGTATATCTGAGGTAACCAGATAACTTTTCTCATTTTAATATTTTGTTATTTTAGTAGGTATTAGAAAATATATAAGTAGTCCATCAAACCTATGATTTCAGATATCACTGCTTAGGATGAACAAAATGAAAGAAAAATAAAATGATTTGAGTGAAAAATATTAAGTACATGATAGTCCAGCAGGTCAAACTGTAAAGGTATTGCTTCAGCGACAAGGAAACGTATAGGAATCTCTAAAGTTAAAAAAAAAATTGATTAGCTCTTCCTCTTCCTCTTTCTTTCCCAAACAGTGTGATCCACAAGCCATTAGGTGGAGCCAAGTGAGATCTTTTGGGGTGTAGGGGAGCCAACAGCAGACAGAGCAGGCTATCAGAGCCCAAACGAGCTTAGAAGGGCATCCACATGACAAGGTGCCTAGATCTTGGTTTCTAAACAGCATTCTCCGTTAAAAGAAACCAGAGGTCCCTGGAGAACAGTTGATTCCAGTTTGGGGCTTGGAAAGTTCAGGCTCTTCTGTTAGAAATTAAAGAAGTACTCAAAGAATGACAAGAGACACATCAAAAAGATGTAGACTGGATGTCCCACTAGCTAAATCTGGGACAATATGAACACCTAAATAAATAATGATAGTAACAGATTATAATCTGTTGAGTAAAATAGGAATTTAAGGGTCCATGCTGATATAGAAATAAATTCATTGAAATTTGGATGAGATACGGGATACTTACATAGTTTTAAAGTATCTTTCTATAAAACACTTATTAATTACAGAGGGGAAAAGAGTAACTTTACAGTGGAGAAGCCTTACAGACACCATCTTAAGTGATTAAAATTAACAACACCAGTAACGGGACAAAATGAAATCTTATGTCAATTGATAGGATGCAATGAGAAGAAAACAGCAACACTTCTGTGATATTCCTACCAAAGGTGCATATCCTTAATCTATTCAAGAGGAAACAACAAACAAACCCAAGTTAAGGGACATCCAACAAAATAACCAGCCCATAATCTTCAAGTGTCACGATCATGAAAATCAAGGAAAGACTGCAGAACTATTCCAGATTGAAGGAGACTAAAGAGGCATGACGACTAAATGCAGTATGTGATCCTGACTGGAAATTTTTTACTATAACTTACATTATTGGGACAACTGGCAAAACTTGAATGGGATCTATACATTAGATGATAATGTATCAATATTAATTTCCTAATTTTGATGGTTAGATTTTGGTTCTCTACAAGAATGTCCTTGTTTGAAGGAAATATAAAAGTGTTAGGAGGTGATGAAATATATCACCTGCTTACACTCAAATGATTTCAAGAGAGAAATTCTTTGTACTATACTTGCAACTTTGTATGAGTTTGAGGCTGTTTCAAAATTGTTTTAAATGAGGAAGAAAAAGTAGACTTAGCTAGAAGCTACACAGGACAGCCTCAGGGCAAGCAATTGGGAGTAATAGGTCCAGTTGTGCCTGAATGTAATGTAGGCACACTGTCCAAGTTGGGTAAAATAGGAAGAATAAAGCATAATGGTTAAGATCGTGGTTCTGGAATCAGTCTGGGTTCAAATCTTCGCTTCAAGCCAGGTGCGGTGGCTCACACCTATAATCCCAGCACACTGGGAGGCTGAGGTGGGAAGATTACTTGAGGCCAGAAGTGCGACACTAGCCTAGGTGACGTAGCAAGACCCTGTTTCTACAAAAAATAAGAAAAATTAGCCAGGTGTTATGGTGCATGCCTGTAGCTCCAGCTACTCAGGAGGCTGAGGTAGGAGGATCACTTGAGCCCAGGAGTTACTGCTTTCCAGCCTGGACAACAGAGAGAGACCGTATGTGTATATGTGTGTGTGTGTATATATATACACATACGCACATATATATATACATACAACAAATCCTAGCTTCAACACATACTGAGTGACCTAATTACTTGTTTCCCTATGCCTCAGTTGCTTTATCTGCTTAAATGGTATCAAGTCAGGAAATACTTATTGAGGGCCTTTTGTATATCAGGCACTATTCTAGGTTGTGTGAACATAGCAGTGAACAAAACAGGTTAGATATTTGCACTCATGGTGTTATAGCAGATGAGGAGCAGTGGTTCTAGTGATAATGGTTTCTATGATAACTCATTCAGGGGTATAATGATTAAATCAGATACTATGGCACATAGTAAGTGATAAGTTAATATTAGCTGTCATTGTTGATCTTAATCAGCAGCATCTCCTAGAACACTGCCTTACGGTCTTTATATCTAATACAAAGGCCAAGTGGTACTGTCAGTAATCAGCATTCTGATGGAAAGCCAGTGGGCTGCTGTAAGGGCTTATCCCTCATTGCGTCAGACTTGTAAACTGCCTGTCATTCCTGTATATACTTCACTGCTAAACCCTGGGGTGGAAAAGACACCTAGCCCCAACGAAATTAAGTTTTAAAACATGCATAAAAGATACTTTGTCAAGAGCACATTGCTATTACTATTGTACACTAAACACAGCTCTGATGAAGACCAAGTGGAGACAAGCTGAAGGCTGTTCAGCCTACGCCAAGAGCTTTCCATCTCTACACCACTTAGGTTTTCATTAACTCCTAAAGAATTAGCAATTGGAGAGTTCCTGCTGTATCTCCTTGGATGAATATAAGCACCCAAAACTTGCACAGAACATTCCTAGTTACAGCAGTATAAAAGTAGTAAAAAAAAAAAAAGAAGTTTGAAATAGGAAAAAAAAAGCAACAAACAATAGCATAAAGTAGAAACTTGACCTGCCCCTGAATGGTTCCTGCAATGATGTTTTTGGCAGAAGCTTCCAATTCTCCATTAAACTGGTCACCCAACATCCGAAGGCGACTAGCAATGATAGCCACGTCGAAAGAGCAAGCCTCTCCTAAGACAGAGGAGCGTATTGGTCACATTTGTCACAATGCTTAAAGGGATGGCAAGTCCTAGGAATCTAGGCAATGAGAAAAAGTTCTTGTCTTTTAAACAATTTTGTTATTGTTCTCTCCCAAGAACTTCAATGCTGTCAATACCAATAGTCAGAAAATCTCCCTTCATTGAGAATCACTTTTACCTTTAGGGGTTGCTAAAAGCTTAGAGTTTGCCTTTTGAAACTTAAGGGGAAATAAAGCATATTTTTTTGGCCTGTAATCACCACCTCAGGCCAGAAACCTTACCTGAATCTGGTCCATCTATACAGGTTAGTTCCCGGTTAGCAACCTGCAATGTTGGACTCAAGAAGTCTGTAAGTAGAGTGTTCACAATGCATTCCGTTTGTTCCTCAAAAGTTTGGAGGCTTTTCATTTTAAAGTTTGTTGCTGAGTTTTACTCTTCCACGAAACAAGCAGTTTTCAGCCCAGCAGGAAGTTAGAAACACTGGTAAACCAGCGGATGTGTCTACTTCTTATAAAGTTTCCTAATTGGACATGTAGTCCTGCAACCTTTCCCACCAGCTTTCGTCAAAAATAGCTGCTCAGAAAGGTAGGACTTCTCTGAAGAGCTTACCTACACAGAACTGGGTAAACTTGTTGAAGACTTTAAGTTTCTTATCTCAGAACCACACCCTAGCTAGTACATAGGATTACTGAATAACTTTTATAGTTAACCAATCTGTAACTGAAATAGAGTTGAGCTCTTGGGTAATTTCATGAAAGAATACTTCCCATTAGGTTCTGTATATGGTATAATTTAAAGGAAGGTTGTCAAGTTGTAACAGACTAACATTCAACTTTTTTATTTTTATTTTTTTTCTTTTATTTCAGCATATTATGGGGGTTCAGATGTTTAGGTTACGTATGTTACCCTTGGTCCCCCGCCCAAGTCCGAGTTTCAAAAATGCCCATCCTTTAAGTGGTGCGCATTGCGCTCCTTGTGTATCAACTTTTTTATTTTTAAAATTTATTTAAAATTTTTATATTTTTTTAGCATTCAACTTCTGTTTGCCATAATCATACGATTATTTACTGAACACCTGTGTGTAAGGAACTATACTTGGCACTACAAATAACACAGAACAATGACACAGGCACAGTTCCTGTGTTCATGGAGCTTACGCTTCATCAGAAATGATATTAAATGACTAATCATGTAATTTCTTGTGCTATTGACATACAGTGCGCTTTGAGAGTGTAACAAGGAAGCAAACCTAGGGGATGGGGAAGGTTTCCTTAAAGTAGTGACATCTCAAATGAGCTCTGAAGGATAAGTAGGGATTCATTAGGCAAAAAGGAGGAGTAAGATTGTTCCAGGTGAAGGGACAACATATATAAAGGCTAGGGAGATGGGAGAGAAAAAAAAAACTTGGGCATTTGAGGAATTATTATATAAATGGATATAATACAAAGTATTTCACAGGGAAATTATGAGGAATAAAAAAGATGTTATGTAGAATGATCTAGCATTGTTTGGCATGCAGTAAATGTTAAATGTGTTTCCTTTTAGCCCAAGGCCCATTGACAAAGATAAAAGGGATCTGAGATTCACTCTCTAACAAGAGAATTTTCCTAACAGGGTTGGACTCCATCATAGTTTTAAGAGATCTTGGGATGGACACTTACCTGTACTGGCTGCCTTCTTAATGTAACTAAACCCAGATTTTGGGTCTGGGTCTCAGCACCATTGCTCATTATCAGCAAACCTATCACTCAACCTATCACTGAAACCTGTCATGTGTCCTCACTCCTACAAACACCTGATATCTGAAAGGGATAGAATAATTACAGTAGAACGCCTGTTCAAAAAGAGGGAGAATGGAGACATATAACAGTCACTGGTCCATAGCAATAAAATTATGGTCAGGGATAGGCACAGTGGCTCACACCTGTAATCCCAGCACTTCAAGAGGCCAAGGTGGGAAGATTGCTTGAGGGAAGGAGTCTGAGACTAGCCTGGGCAACACAGTGAGACTCAATCTCTACAAAAAAAAACTAGCCAGGCATGGCGGCATGTACCTATAGTCCCAGCTACTTGGGAGGCTAAGGCAGGAAGATTG